GCAAAAGTCACTTTGGTACTGGACAGTCATCTGCAAAAGTCAGTTTTGAACATAACTTGTAAAAAAAGAGGTGTCCTAAAAAATTTGTAAATTGGGTAATCCTTACTGTTAGGACCCCGTTCCTATAGGAAGGGAAAGACTCACCAAAACAGTTGACTAAATGACACTCAAAATTGACATTCTGATATTTCTTGGCACACCTGAACAATTGGCAATGACACCTTCTTGAATATCAGCAGTTTTAATTTTGTGGGAAGAGGGCAGGGCTTTGATTTGTGAGGGAAATTCAGGGGTAAAAGACGACAATGACAACCAGAAAACAGACTCAAAAACCAAGATGGCAAACGTGAAAGCTCGATGCGATGAAAGCTCGATGCTGATTGGCTGATAAAAAATAAACATCTTATTTATTATTTTTAGCAGCCAATCAGCAACGGGCTTTCATTATGTAGGGCTTTCACTGTGTTGTGAGAACTACAACATGCACGTCTGACTGCGAAAAAAGGTAGGAAAGTCACATTTTCTTTGAAAGTGCTTTCAAAATTACAACTAACATGAGTTTATATGAAGAAAAAAGACTGCTTTAGCCTGCAAAAGTCACTTTGGTACTGGACAGTCATCTGCAAAAGTCAGTTTTGAACATAACTTGTAAAAAAAAAAGAGGTGTCCTAAAAGTAAGGATTACCGTAAAACTAGCCCCATAAATGTGGCCTATTTACTGGACTGCCTCCGTAAACATAGGCCACACATCCACATGTACAAAAAACGTGTCGACTTTGCCAAATTTTGATTTTCACATTTAGGCTTACTTTTTACGGTTTTTTGCTTTAGAAGCATTCTCACCCTCTATATAGGCTAATCAGAAAGTGCTGCCTTTTTCAGATGTCCATTTTTCGTGAAATTTCCAGATACATTTGCACACGTTTGCGTATCAAAATTTCAACATGAAATTTCACAAAAATTAAACATCTGAAAAAGGCAGCACTTTCTGATTAGCCTATACAGTCGTTTGACCGGTTCCGCAATCGCAAATCGTCTGAAGCGTCTTGTGGTGAAAAAACGCGCTTTCACAGGAAGCTACCTATCTATAAATATGCGCAAATTACTCACCTACTTCATGATATGAATAGTTTTCTGTGATCGTTTGAAAGAGAAATTTGCCAGGACATTTTGTAGAGGTCGGTGCTTTGACCGGTTCCGCAAATGTTTTCCGGTTTCGCAAACGGCGCCCTCTGCGAGACTGGACTGAAAATATTCCTTGTTTACTGGCCAAATCTAGATCGTTTTTGCCCCCAAACCAGCCAAGAAAAGATGTGGATTATATTTCCCTGTGCATGAGCCAAGGTCTGCACATTATAATGCGTCCAAATTTACAAAATGTAACTCCATGAAAATGTTATGGTTCGTTGGATTTTTTTTACGTTATAATTATTTGACTTGCTTCAATCCAATTAAATGACTTTCTTGCTTTTTGTGCATTCTGTCTATCATCTTGCAATCACTAATATTTTGCTTTTTTGTTGTCTTATTTTTATTTAGACACACTCTGACGTTGGATAGAACCAGACACAAACCTTGTACCGAATTGCTCCAGTTGGTTGTTCTTTTCTCACATGAGCACAGACCAGCTATTTATGAATTTGAATTAATATTTTCTCCAGGATCATTTTTAATTCCTATGACACTTAAGGAAGTTACTGCATGGCTGGATGAATTGGGACTGAATCATTGTCTGCAGGGGAGAACTGTTTATTAATATTATTTGTTTATTTAATTATTATTATTTATTTACCTTTGTTTATTCCCTCCTCCTTTTTTTCATTTTACTTTTGTGTGTGTGGGGTGGGGGGGGGGGGTGGGTGGGTGGGGAGTGTTTCAATTTGTTCAGGGTAACAACACAATATGCTTAATTTTGTGTGCACCAACATCCAGTAGGGGGAACCTGGGGGCCGGGAGGGGAGGGGGAACAGGCCTCAGCAGGCCAGATACATACAGGCCACATACATGCACATTTTGTTTCACATTCAAATTAAATTTCACAAACAAATTAAAACAAATTGTTAAAAATGTCATCAATCCTATGGCTAGTTTTTCAAACACCTCACTTCTCTTTCACATGTACTGGTTAATAAAAATGTATGTAACGCCTTTAAATGTATTGCCTTTATGACACCTGCATGTCTGTTTAATTGTTATACACAAATAATTTAAGCACTCCAGAAGCTAGCACTATACAAACAAACTTGTCACATAAATAAATTAATTCAAAGAAATGGTGATGAAGACACACAGCTACATGTACTTTCACTATAATATTCAACTTCTTCTTGACCTTCACAGGTAAAACTGAAAAAGATGTGCTGATGCCTCTTATGGCCTATCAGGAGGCTGGCGTAATCTTCTTCTTTGTCTTTGGCATTGTCTGTATGAAAAAGAAATTTTATATAAAACGTTTAGTTTATGACCAATTGAGACAAAAATGAGAAATGGTTTATACTAGTATTTGACAAATGTTGTGCTCCAAGAAAACAATCAAAATTTGTGTCTCTGTACTGACGAGAGACTGGTCTTGATTATGAAATATTAGTGGACCTATTTTTCTTTTTGTTTAAAAGGGTAAAGAGTAAGGTGAGAACCAACCGAAAAAGGATAATTTTAAATTTACTAAATTACTGGAAATGTCCTTTGGGTTAGAAACATATTATTATGCACTATTCTTAATTGGTCCCCACAAACCTCACCTCCTAGCCTGGGCTGATTCATGCACCCTGGATGTGGAGAGTTGTAACTCTAAAATGAATTCAAACCCCTGAGGCACAACCGCTTCAACATCAAGTATGGGGTGAATTTTTTTAGAGCAAAGGAAAAGCGTTTAGTGGGAAGTATTAAGAAAGATTTTTGTATTTTAAATTTTGAAGTCCAAATTTTTTTATCCAAAACCTACAGTGCTGTCCGGAAGCTGGACAGAAACAAAATCATTTTGTTTCAATTTAGTTTTCAATTTTTTGCACTGAACACCCAGAAATGATCATCAAATTCGACATTTTTAAACAAGGATTAATAGAAATTCTCAATTTCTTTGTAAGTTGTAAAAAAAAAAAGATTCATGCCAAAATAAATAAAGTGCACCGCGCTAGGGGGCCGTCATCAACAATACTTGTCAATAGCAGCACTGGTTAATACAGTCCCACCATGGCCAGTGTATTGTATAGGCAGTATGAATGCGTTTGCGGAACCGGCCAAACGACCAGCAGTTACTCTGGTGGGTATAGAAAAAAAAATTCAAAGACTTCAAATCTTATATTTATATGGTGGAATAATGAATAATTTCCGAACAAGTTGCATCAATCGCCATGATTTAATTCCCCTGAACAATCGTGTAGCAGGCCGACAAACATGAAATCACGCTTCCGTGCGCGTTCCATTTCGGCAGTTCGTTAACGGCAAGTCACGGTCGTAGGGGATTTATTTTTAAATGTAAGTGAGTATCCTAAAACTAAAACCATTTTTGAAAAGTAGATTGACTAACCTTTCCATCAGTACCAAAGTTTAAGTCCTTGGCGTTTTCGTCTTCCTGAAAACGAGAGCTAGTTTTCCGAAATTGCGGAACTGGTCAAATTGCGGAACCGGTCAATTGACTGTATAGAGGGTGAGAATGCTTCTAAAGCAAAAAAAATCTACAAAGTAAGCCTAACTAAAATCAAAATTTGGCAAAGTCGACACGTTTTTTGTACATGTGGATGTGTGGCCTATGTTTACGGAGGCAGTCCAGTAAATAGGCCACATTTATGGGGCTACCGTAAAACTAACAACAGGTGAGGTAGGCCTACTATAAATTTAGCGGTCGTCCGGAAACTGGACAACTGCAATTATTTTCATCAGCCTTAAGAACGTAACTATCGTAACGTTACCTAGGTCCTAACGTTCGAGCAGGCAGTCGAGAAATGTACTGCTGCTCAACGGAACAGGTCAGCTTTTCCACAATTGCGAACTCGTATAAACACAGCGTCGTCTTCAGCCGAGGAAAAGACTCGAAAAGTGGAAGGATTTTGCGAGATTCCTTGTCAGCAAAGCTTCGTCGCAGTAAATTTCGAGTCGCGATCCTGCATGTCCTGGATGAGGTCGAGGTCAAAAAACGACTGCGCATGCGGCACCGGGTCCTCCACAGAGCTAGAGGAAACGGACCAATCAGAATTTCAGAAACCATACAATAAATTATGTAAGGAAAAATAAAATCTTGTTTATCCTTCTCGGATATCAAAAATACCTCCCCGAATTCGGTTTTCTTTTCTTATATGAAAAGAAAAGGAAAATAATAGCGTCTTTTATTTTAAGTATGTCAATTAAAAAATGTGAACAAAAACTGGAACTATTTTTATTTTTCTTGATATAAATCTGAAAAGGAAAACGAACAGATTTTTTTGTTCAATGCAAATTGAAAAAAAATCGAAAGGTAACACTAACAGGCATTTTCTATTTGAAATAAAAAAAAAATACAACGATAATTTTTCTTTATCTTCTTGATATTTAATTTTTTACAAAGAGAAAAGAAAAACATTTTTCATTTTCTTTAATGTTTAAAAAAAAAAACCGGTAAATTACAACCCAACCTTTTTTGTATTTTTAAAAAAGAAATGTACAGAGGGGTGCTCTCTCTATTGGTCAGTAATGAAGTACATGTAGATGTAGAAGTAGAAGTAGCCTACAAGGGATTTTCTTTTTTCAGCTGTAACTTGACAAACAAAACGTACCGTTTTTACTTTTTTCCCTTTTTTAAAGAAAAAGAGTCAAAATCCGAGCCTCGCTAGCGCTTCGGGCTTTTCATTTTTTTGATTCGCTCGTCCCCACGGCCCTGATAATTGCCGGGCGTTGGGGAACGAGCGAACTTTTTGGACAGCAAAATGAAAATCCAGATGCATGATGGGAAGGCCACTTTTCTTACTCTTTGTAACCGTTGAGGGGGTACTTCAGGGTAAAAGTTCATTTTTTTATTTTATTTTTTAATGGAAAAATAAATAAATCATTCCTCTCCAGCTAGCTAATGAGGGCGCTAGAGATCTTTACCGTACGCGTGAACGTTAACGTTGGTCTGTATTATTTTGGTCATTATTCCAAGCGCTATTTAGTTGTTTCTCAGCAAATGATTATTGCAAAAAAATGTCTGATTTAGACATTTGTAAGTTGGCATATGATGGCGAGTTTTCCGCTGTGAAAGAAAGAGTGGAAGCGGACAGGAGTGTGCTTAATGAGTTGGACAAGGTGGGGTAACCGTACCTGCTTGCATGACTTGCAATAAAACCTAGTCCGAGTAACTTGGACCATGCTTGTTTGGACCTAGCTTGAGTAACTCCAGCTGACATGCTCCATATTCATTACATGTGAATGAATATGGAGCATGTCAGCTGGAGTTATTCAAGCTAACTTGGACCCAACTTATCGGCTTTTTAACATCGCCAGACCATGTCCGATTTTCAAAAAGGCGATAAGTCATGTATTGTAACTAAGACAGTTGGGTCAATACATCTTGGACAAACCGAGCAATTTGTGCACAATTAAACCTTTCTCTGGAACCAATTAAAAAAACTTTTATTGGAAGTTTGATTCCTACATCAAGAACATTGTTGCATTGCCATTTGCCATTTTTATTTGAAATATAAAAATTAGGCCTAACCTAGCCCTAGAATGCAAGATGTCAAAAAAATTTTTTTAAAGCTTATCAGAAATTAAAGAAAGTTAAATTTTGGGGAATCCCTTTTTAACTTAACATTAGCCCCATAAATGTGGCCAATTTACTGGACTACCTCGGTAAATAAGGGCCACACTTGAAATATGTACCCGAAAATTAAGAAAATTTTGTTATTTACAAATTAGACTTTATTTAGTATATTTACGCTGTAGATTAGAAGCATACTCATTCTCTTTATATCGATGGAAGGGATGTCCCCCCTATCTCAGACGTCTTTTTTTCTGGTAATTTCCAGGTTTGTTTGCACACGTTTATGTTTTTTAATTCCAACATCATGCACGTGCAATGCAATATATGAATGTTTCAAAAACGTAGTGGCTACCGTTACCAAATCGCGTAACACGATTTTCCACTATGATTTTCAACCATGCTACTACAATTTAAAAAAATGTATGATTCTCCCTACCTATGTTTATGCCTGTGTAGGATTTCAATCTTTTTTCCAACCAATTTGAACAGAGTGACCGAACGATTCTCCACTGGGCTGCGTCAGGCAAACGCTTTGAAATCGTGCAGTATCTACTGGAACTCAAGCCACCTCCAAATGTCAACATCAAAGATGATGTAAGTGTCAAAGTTGCTTTCATTCTGTTCATCCCCCCAAAACCCTAAATATTGACTGGCATTGTTATGTAAAAGCACCGACTATGCCTCAACTATTTGTTGTTCAAGATTTTTTGTTTGTGATTATTTGGCAATTGGCCGGGATAGCCCACGAAAGTCCTTCGACTTATTTCCAGTGGGGTCCCTAGGTAGAAGTAGGAGTTACAGTTTTAATGGTGGGAGGAAAACCCCAGAATGATATTCTAGGGACAACCCACGGAATCAGGCAGGGACTGAAAACCCAATCCACATATTGGCCCAGGCGGGATTCGAACCCGGGTCACAGCGATGGAAGGCGAGGAAAGTACCGCTATGCCAACCTGAGCCCCCCAAAATGATGCAAATGATCCCATACCAGGGTGAGACAGCAAGTGGATGCGTACTGCTTGATGACTTGGGGACAAGGTTGGGAAACACCTGCCTCTCGGGTTTGTTATGTATTTAATTTTGGTTCTGTAGGTACCCAGCTTTTGTGGCAACGGGTACCCTTAAAGGCATAATATAGGATCATTTGCTTTTCATGCATTTTCCTCGTTTCAAATAATAACACCACTCAAAATCCAAAGAAGAATCTTCAAAACCTAACCTGTTGAAGTTTCAGCTCAGTGGATATTACACATTGTGAGAAAACACTTAGAAAAAATGCTTTCCCAAAAATCAGATCTGATCGTTGGAAATCACCTACATTTCTTGATTTCTTCTAAATGACAGCAAGCCAGACGGAATAATTTTAAAGGGTGTTTAGTACCAGTATGATCTTTAATCCCAGTAAGCTTATGGGTAAAAATTTGGTAGGGTACTTTTGGGATAAACGCAGACTGGGACCTTAAGTACTCAAAACGATGCAAAAGAAGATCAGGCCAATTTTACTCACTCTTTAGCCAGCCAATTTCTCCAAAACTTTCAGTGGGCAAAGAAAAGGTCCTCAGTATTCCACCAAGCAAGTTTGAAGACTCAATTCAATTTTTAAAGGAGACTTTTCTTTAATATTTGGCAGTGGCTTGCACATGAGAGGGAAGTCAAGTGATTTCAAAATGAGGCTAAAGACTAGACTTGTACATATCCATCCATGGTCCAACTGTTGGACAAGACTGACTTCTTCATTCATCGTCATTAGTCTGGTGCCTGACTATGGAGAAATGTGTAGAAATAGTGACCTAGTACCCGACATCCTAGATATTTCTTTTGGCGCAGTCAGCTGACAGTTGATTGATGCAGTACTGAAGAGTTGTTGGACTGCTTGTTTCAGATGTCAGTCTATTTTCTTGTGTTGCATGTTTTCAGTACCAAATTTTTGGACTAGGATAAACGCAAATGATCGTATTATAGTCCGAATCAAACTGTAAAAGCAAGCACACCTCGATTCACAAATTGTACTTTTGTTTCAACAGAACAATTGGACGCCGTTGCACATTGCATCCTCGGTGGGCCAGGAAGAGATTGTGACCGCCCTTATAAGTCAAGGGGCAGAGGTCAATGTCGCTAACAAGACGGGCCAGACGCCACTGCATTACGCTGCATCCAGAGATCGGCAACGAGTAAGTTTGCGAATAATCTTGTTCGTCAGCTGACTGTACTTGGTTCAGAATGTATGTTTGCACAGGAGGGTTAATTGTTAATGTTATCTGTGTTAACAAAAGTTTGCAAAACTTGCCCCAGTTTACCTTTCTGCCATCTTGAAACAGTGACGTGACTCGCAAATTTGACTGGAGAAACAGTGCTCAGGGGCTTGGTTGATCTAGTTGGACTAGCTAGTCAAGCCATGCAGCGTTCGAGTGACATCTAGATTGACTCTGGTTAAGTCCAGTCGACCCTAGTCATCCAATCGAACTTGTTCATACCGGTAGCTGTTATTAGTGTCTGAAATGCATGCACTAATAGCAATGTGTGAACGCCTTAAGACAAAGAGTTGTCAAAACGTCATCACAAAACTTCTTGGTCCTAGTTCCCTGTCGTGCTTTAAGATGTGCACGGCTGTCAGTAGCCAACGATGCAACCGTTTCTTGTGGTCCGGTATACAAATATTGAATGCTTCGAGTGGTGTAGTAAAACTAGCCTCCCGAGGTGATCCATGGACATTCTATTCGCTGAGGGAAAATAGAATGCTCCATGGATCACCGAGGGAGGCTAGTTTTACTTCACCACGAGATAAAGCATTCAATATTTGTTTTATAACACTTCACCCACAGATTCTGCTTGGTTGTAATATTTTAAATTATTTAAATCTGAGCACAGTTAAAGTAAACGTCAATTTCAATACAAAATTGGTGGGAAATGTATTCTCTCATCCAAACTACCCCTGCACGAAATGTTTGAACCTAAGTCTGTTGCGCGCTCTCTTGGGAACAATACGTGCAAGGCTCAACGTGCACACCAGCATGCAGTTGCACACAAATACCGCGCCATGGTATAGTACTTTGGTTGCTAATGGTATAGTACTTTGGTTGCTACGGGTATAGTACTTTTGGTCGTGCACAGAAAGATAGCAAAAATAGAAAGTAACATGTGACTCGCTCTCGGCCAATCAAGACACAGAATCTGTAGGTGAGGTGTTATAATTCCAAATAGTCGACTAGAGAAGTCCACCAATCCATCGTTCAAGCAAACTCAGTCCAACTATGGTTAACTATTGGTCGCGCCTGAACTTGCAAATTAACGCTTTCCCATGCATGCTTATTGACCTAGATAGCAGAGATTTTGTTGGAGCACGGTGCTGATGTCAACATTGGAGACCAGACCAGAGCGACCCCCATGCATCGGGCCGCCTCCAAGGGTAATCTCGAGATAGTCAAGCTCCTCCTCAACTACAACTGCAGGCTGGACGTACAAGACTGCGTTGGAAACACACCACTGTGAGTACGATGAATAGAACATGTGCTCTAACAGAAGATGATGCTTTGAGATGTTCGCTCGTCGCCACCGTGTTTTCTAGACTGGTTCCCGGTCCCTCCATTGTCCTTCGGACTTCAAATATAGGAACTGGTAGCGGTATTTCAAACATAGTATTCAAACATAGGGACCGCTAGAGGGCACGTGTGGTCTAGCGGTTGAGCACAAGATTCATGATCGTGAGGTTGTGGGTTCGAGCCCCGCCGTGGCCATGCGTGTTGTGCCCTTGAGTAAGGCGCTTTACCTCAATTACTCCTCTCAACCCAGGTGTTAAATGGGTACCGGCATTATTCAATGCTGGGAAGGTAACAGACTCGCTGTGGAGGAGGTGTGGCGATCCCCCCACAGCAGCATATGAGTCTGACCCAATCGCTAACGACAGAGAGATGGGCACTCCGTTCCTGTGAACACAGGTTCGTCCCCTTTACCTTTACTTTTTCTTGGTGGGTAATAGATTAGGAATACATTAGGAGGATTTATGTATGCAAAATGTATGCAGGACTAGTCTAGGTCTGATTCCCGCCCCCTAAATACAAAATCACAACGATAATGTTAGCGCGGAAACAGCTTGTTCCAAAATGGCAACAAGGCTACCACTAATGTGCAGTTTGTGTGGTGATGAGCTTCGATTTTCGCCGAATTAGAAAGTGTCAGGGGCAACTATCAATAAAGAGAGGGGCACTACTTTTCAGTATTTGAAACCTATGCAGTTGAAACACTTGAAGTTGCCTTCATGGAGACACTAGCAATTTTGCCTACTGGTTATGTTAAGAGTCAGTTTTGTTTATAGCCATGTGTTCAACTGTCATCCATGCGCAATGCTGTAAACATCATTTTTCGAAAATACAAAATCATAAAGCCCGGTTCATACTTCACGCGAAAGCGAAAGTGAAGCGAAATTTGTGACGTCAACAATACATTCGAAGTGCGTCCACCATTGTTGACGACATGGATTTCCCTTTGCACATGCTTTCGCATGAAGTATGAACCGGCTTAACGCGCACTTGCAGAGGTAATCCAATCAATGGCTTTAAATGGGAACGGGAACCAGTCTACGTACTTTCTAGAGGTGCTTGTCTCCAAACTTGTCCCCATGGTGTCGAGCAGTACGCTCCCACTACGCGCTCTTTCACCATGGTACTGCCTCAGTTGCATGTTCAAAAACTAGTGGTAGGATTTAAATCTGGATTTTTTGAATTTCAGTTTGAATTCCACTAGTCGGTTTGATTGTGGAAACTATATTCAAAACCAATCTTTAAAAAATTAAGCCGCTTTTTTTGTGACGCAGGCTATTAAAAGACAACAACTGGAACATCCCCCAATATGCTCCATGGTTTTTGATTGTAACTGCATTCACTTGTTAGTTGTCTTCTTGGATATGTGAATGGCCTGCCCATTCGGCTTATCAGAGAGTTCCCGCCAAGTTTTTCAACATTACAGCTTTGGAGTGTTTTTGTAAAGGCCCAGTGGTCACTGAATCCTGCAAACTATACTCAATCATTCGGTGGGCATTGCATGTGGCACCTTTTTGGTGGCATGGCTGTGAGATGAATGGGAACTTCCAGTAAAATCAGATAGCCGTTACTCGGTTTGAACAAAATTTATAGAAAAAAACGGATTTTGAAATCTCCGATTTCTCTCACCACTGTCAAAAACCTTGCACGTTATATTGGGGTACGGAATGTCCTGATGTCTGGCCATGCTCCAAATCTGACTTCACATTGAGAAAACTGGGGTTTAAATTGTTAATTTGGTTTTATGTGTTTATGTTGTTGTTTGCAGACACTTGGCATGCGAAGAGGAAAGATCGGAGGAAGCCACATTGCTAGTACAGCACGGGGCTCCGCTGCACATTCAAAACAAGGTAAGGACAAATAAAAATAAAAGACAAACAAAAAAGGAAAAAAACTCAAAGCAAATAATATCCTTTCCCTGTAAACGTGGGGCAAAGTTCATGACTTTGTAGTTAGTCAACCACTTCGCGCCAGGTTCATTTTTGCCAAAATATTCAGAAGGCAAATTTTCCAGCCAACTTCTGATATGCAGCCAAACGCCACAAATACTGATTCGCAAGAGTCAATTCAACAGTATTTGTACGATATTTCTTGCCAAAACCTCATATGTTTCAATACTCCGGGGTGTGCACTGGAGCCCTAAATTTTACAACAATACGCCGTGCCCAACGGCCAATTCAAGATCAACACACGGTCTGCCTCCACAGACTTCACGGACTTTGTGTGTGTACAAAAGGCACAAGGGATTAGCGTGTTAAGACGTCACCCAAAGGCGAGTCGAGGCGGTTGTGACAATACGTCAGCCGTGCCTGGGTACAAAAACAGCCAGTGCGTGTTATATTAAAAAGTTGTTGGAAAAAATTGATGCTGTCGCCGGCAACACCAAGGAGAAATGTTGGCAGTCGATCTCCACCCTTAAAATTAAACCATAACGAAGATCATTGTTTTTATCTGTGTGCACAAATAATCTTTAAATTCAAATAAAACTTGTGATTATTTTTTAATATCCAGGAGGAAAAGACACCCTTGGACCTGGCACCAATTGGACTAGCGAGGGCGCTTTCAAGTCTCAAAGACTGAAGGTTTTTCTATACGGAGATGCATAATGTGTATGTCATACGTACAGCCGATTCAGTATTATTGCATCGGTGTGTCAGTGCTATGGACTCAAGATCACGCCTCCATGAAACAAGAGGCCACGCCCACCCACCTGGGCTTGACTCTGTGCCCTACTTGATGTCAGAGCTGCCGTGTATTGAAAAAAAAAACAATTGTTTTTTTAACCTCTTCGTCTGAATGGCCTTCACTCAACCCGAGAAACTTTCTTTGATTTGCTGGCAGTGGGAAATTCTTCCAGTTTACAATAGCAGAATGATACATCTCCCAAAATGTTTGTTGTATCAGACTTTGTGTAGTGCCAGCCTCAGGTCGACCTACGATTTGCTTGCCCCACAATGGAACCATCGGCATCAACCTCAAACGTCATGCTCAGGTCGCAAAAGTGAGGAATCGTGTGATTGTTGTGGATCAATTAGGTTCACAACTTGGATGATCCAGATATGCACACGCGACATCGTAACTTTACAAAGGTCGACTGCGATTGGTTCCAGCCCGTCGGGAACACGTTCCATCGCAGCGCAGAAGTTGAAATTGTTTCTACTCTTACGGCTGGTGATTCTTGGATGCCCAATCGAACATTGTTGCAGTAACACTCAGATCGCAAAAATTTTGGCAACTGAAATGTTCCTGACGGTCGTAGCTCAGGCACAGCTTGATCCTGAGAAGGCAGTCGTCGACTGATCTGTGTCGTCGCCAGGTCGACCTGAGGCCGGCTTAAGTAGAGCACTTGTCTGGATTTCACGAAACTTGACATAGCTGTGCAACAACTTCAGAAATACATTGGACGAGGAGAAACACAGTGGTTGTGTTGTGTACGACTTATATTTCAGTCACAAACAGTCATATACAGTTGTTGTACCTCCACCCACCATTTTGAATAAAAATGTCTGACTTTCTTTGGAATCAGGTGGGAAATTGAAAAATGCTGTCAAAGGTGAAATATCAATTAATTTACTTAAAAATCAAAAGCTTGATAAGTTGAGCAATGATATGCTCCACGACGATCACAGTTAGTCCGTAAAATAGTTCATTTTCAGTCACTGCGCCATGACTTTCGCCACCTAAAATGATTGCGTAAGTTAAAGCCATAATTTGTTGCACAAGTCACAAACTTTCGCACTGTGAAGCTTTTTGTGAAGTGTGTCATATAAACTGAATTGTGCAACGTGAAATATTATGCGACTTGTGCAATCACATGTGGCTTACATGTAAGCGGAGATACGCCATTGCGTAAAGTTTCGCGAAATTGTCTGCTGACTTGAGCAGTTTTGTGGTAATGAGGGTTTAATAATTAAATGTCACCAAACATTTACAGCTGATCAATAATAAAACAGAGAAGACACATTTACACGAGCGATTTGTCAAAAAACATGTTCATTTATTGGTCCATGTGTTTAGAATACGTTCAACTGTTCTACTTTTAATAAGTACATTTCAGTGTACATCTGGTTTTATTAAAAAAAAAAAATTTTTGGCAACTCAAATATATTTTGAGCTGGAAATCAGAGCGACAATTTGTGGAATGTGTAGGACTACGTAGGCCATACTACCACCAGAAAAGTTGAAGGAATATCAATATCAGATCACTTGCTTTTCATACATTTTGTTTGTTTCCAATATTACCACTCAAAATTCAAAGAAGAAAGTTCAAAGCCTAACCTGTTGAAGTTTCAGCTCAGTGGATATTTCACTTTTCGAGAAAGCAGTGAAAAACCATGCACAGCGTTTTGATCACGAAACATGATTTCCTCAGAAGCACTCTTTATTCCAAAAAATCTGTCAATTGACTGATCGTTGGAAATCAACTACAAACCAGACGGAATAATTGTAGGGGTGTTTAGTACCAGTGCAATATGTAGTCCAAGTAAGCTTTTTTTAATAATAATTTGGTAGGTTACTTTTGGGGTAAATGCACATTGATCTTATGCCTTAACCCTAACTCCCTAGCATGATTTACTATAGGAACCATACCCATCCTGGCAAATTCCAACACCATATGGGAAACTGCACACACATATTTCTGACTTGTTTCTGGAGGCGTGCCAACCCAATGTAAAAGACTGTCAGTTTAGGGGTACTGTACCCATCCAGACAGATTCCAACAAAACATGCCATTGGAGTTTGATGGGTTAGGGTTAAAGTGGAACTTAAATTGACCGTTCTACTGATTTCTTCTCATGACTTGTTAATTAAACCAAATTAAATGAGAAAACTCTTGCTCAAGTAAAAACAGGGATGCCCGTTTGTAAGAAAACTATAAAAGGTGGTTTAAAAAAAGTGTGCCAATGGACACACCTTTTTACACCCGTCAAGCAATGGAATCCAGTAATGAGACCCCGTTTTCTCTGTTTTCTCAAAATGCACTGTCGCCACTAAAACTTCAACTGGTTAATTATTATGCACCCTTCAGATTTTGTGGTGTGTTCCTCCAAATTAAAACAAAATGCATAAAATATGAAAGATCCTATGAACTAGGCAACGTCGACAGTTACACATGCAATAGAGATCAAGAGCGACGATATTGTTTTCTCAAATTTTATAACACTGTCTAAATGTGACTTGTGTTAAAAAAAAAGAAACTTCTTTTTTACTAAAAAATTGACAACGCTGCTATTAAACGTTCATTGCTTGCAAAATGAGCCAAATTATTAAAACTGACGTCTCTTGAACGGTACGAGGCGTTTCATGTCTCGCTGAACAATAAAATACATGTATGCCATTACGGATTTGCCCAATTACAAACCAACTACAAATGGAAATTTCCAAAAATGCGTCATTTGACGCATCTTTGGAAATGGCCGTCTTTTATTGTTTTCTTCAAAATGACAGCATGCCAGAAAGAATAATTTCACAGGGAGTTCAGTGCCATTACTATCTCTAAAACCAAGTAAGCTTTTCAACAATAATTTCGTCAGTTATTTTTGGATAGCTGCAAATGATCTACTCTACCTTTAAACTGGAAATGTAATGTGCCTTAACAGATCTTATGTTTTCTATCTAATTTAGCTGCTGATACCACTCAATCTTCCATCTTTCAAACCTTTATATTCATGAAGAAATTTTGCTGCAAATGTACAGTATATGCAATCAGACTTACACATTGTACACTATACATGTATATACACGTAGTTGTACACATAAGAATCCTGTCTCCTAAAAATATGACTACTTTTCTTTTATGTATAAAGTATACTATATAGAAGTTTTTAATATACACTGCATTTGTTTATCAATCAAGGTGGTCGGACTATATGTCAATAGTGCATGGTGCATTTTTTTTACAGATTTGAAAAAAGTATACAATTTCAAAAGTGTTTTCTCATATAAACAACACAGTTTTACATTGTCAACATTTATGTTTAAATCTATCTCATTCCAATTTTCAAAACCCTTTTTTTGGGAGGTCCATTTTCTGGCTGAAATCAATGATGTTGGTACAAGATTCACAACTCGTGGAAAACCCAAAAGATTCAGGGGTCAGATTTGTCCAGATTCCTCCTGCTTTCGTTTTTTTTAAAAATAACTCGAGTCCAATGACTCAACTCGAGTCCGACTCGAGTCACAATTTTTTGTGAGTTGACTCGACTCGAGTCCCCAAGGGTAAATGACTTGACTTGACTCAAGTCACTGCGAGTCATTCAAGTGACTCAACTCGAGTCCCTCATCAGAAGACTCGACTCGATCGAAGGGTAATAAGACTCAAGTACCAAAAATAAAAGCAAATCTTTGCAAAAAGTATTTGCAATGACTTACAGTGCTCGTCATGTACAAAAATACAATGTGTCACAGACTCCCACCTCATGGTTCTGTAACGCACAAAATAATATCCAGGAACCGGATTTTAAACACATTTTCAAATTTGTTGTTTAATCATTGGCTTTGGGCGATTTCTTATAAAGCTCTTGGATTCGAATGCCGGCTAAATTTATGCCCTCCTTTTATAAATGTTGGTAAATAAATAGTGTTCAAATATTTGTGACTCGAATTGAGTCGAGCTAAATATTTGACTGGACTCGACTCGACCTTCTTGACCTAATGACTTGACTTGACTCGAGTCACTTCTTTAAAATGACTCGACTCGAGTCACAAAAATCAGTGACTCATTGCAACTCTGCTTCCCCCCCCCCTTTTTTTGGACGTCTGCAACCCTCTGAAAAAGGTTTTGTTTTGGGCACAAATAGATCTGCTTTGTGAGCAGACTGGCTCCCGGTCCATAAATTATACTGATTGTGGGGCGGGAACCAGCCTACCCAGCGAGAACAGAAATCATTGTCTGGCAGCCAATAGTTCGAAATTGTGAAGTTGTAATTCAATAAATAAATATGGGCCGATTTTTTTTTTCGGTCGATGTCTCACTCAAAAGTGAATAACTGTTGTATTGCTAGAAAAAAAGCAATTTAGAAATGGAATTTATTTTTTGGGATAAAACTCAACAATAGTATGGGAAATGCATCTTTAAAACGACCCGGGTACTAAAAACACTTCAAGAGCTTTTTTTTTTTATACCCTGGATCTGCCACGGCAATCTTCCTATCTTATAAAATGCAAACAAAATTACTCTCTTTCCAACTTTCGTCAACATTCGTCCAATTTGTGGCGGACAAGATGCCAATCCTTTTCTTTCATGAAAGACAGCCACAATTGGCAAAAAAAAAAAAAAACAATTTGCTTGTAGCAAAATTGCACAAATGTGGCAAGTCAGAAAACCATTCCGAACATCTCCCGAAAATCTTGTGTACTTTCTTGGCCAGAAATCAAAAAATATTTACACGTAAAATACACCATTACTTTAATATAATACATGTAACTTTTCAAGTGTTAACAATAAATTGACTGCGTAATACTTTCTAAAACGAACCTATATCAATAAATACACCAAAACAAAGAAACATGTCAGAAATAAAACCGAACCACTAAACTGAAGAAAAATAGAACTTGAAAAGTACATTAATTCGTTGTTTATACAAGTGTGCATCCTATTCTTATACACAAAATGTTTATGTAGCTGATGGACAAAACAGAGATATTCTGTACAAAGAATGTACAAAGTCTTTGGATTTGTGTTTTCCTCAGTACACGTTCTTAGTTTTAAGCCAACTTTTAAAAACCTCCAATTAATTAAGTATTCATGACGTGCCCATATTCCTTCGTTGTATCAATGTATTTGTATAAAAAAAATGAATGGAAAAGCACCCTCGAATAAACTCTTTTTATAGTGGTGTATAAAACCTCAAAAACAAACAAGCACCACCATCAAGGGCGGATCCAGGGAGGGGGCCAAAGGGGGCCATGGCCCCCCAAAAACGAAACCAATTTTTTTTTTTTATGTGACGTCGCAATAAAGGCAGGCAATGAGTACACCACCATCTTTTTCTCAAAAAACATTGGTTAAAGTGGTCAGAAATTGCCTCAGATCGCACCACAGAGCATCTAGAATCCAATTTTTTTTTTGGCAGGCCAAAATTGTTTTTGGCCCCCCCCCCAAAAAAAATTGTGTTCTGGATCCGCCCTTGACCACCATTGGGTTACAAAAGAAAAACAAGCGTTGTGATTTTAACTTTCACAGAGGAGACGCTGCAAAAGCTACACTAATTATTCACTCAGTCTTAATTTGTCATAACCTTTTTTTTTCTTGGTGACTTCTTCTATCAATTTTTGGAATGAAATAGAACAACTTGAAATGCTCAGTGCTGTGGCACTCATACTTGTATCTAACCTAAGGGTGTGCAATTACGGACTTTACAGGAATCAGATACCTGATTGAAAAATACGCGGATACCTGGGTACCCGTTTAAAACCCCAACCCCAAAATATAAATCTTGGAAGTCGCTGTACATATTGTTCCTAAAGGTCCATATGATGATACAGCAAGATACCAGTGTATACAGTGAGCTCAATACAAGCTCACGGTGTAAATGACATTTTTGCAAGTGTCATCAACATGAATCTGTTTTGTTTTTCCATGTGGCCGGGTTTTCATTCTGAAAATTCTCCACAAATGACATTCAAGACCTTTCTTGTTCATTGTCTGAGAAGTTACTTATATGTAAAGTTGGTTACAGGTGCCCGATCCCATAATCTGGAACCAGTTCCTGACATCAGTGGTCAGGTATTCGGGTACCCAGTTCCGATGCACAGCCCTACTTGTGCCAAAGTACATTTTTCATAATCGTTCTCAAACTCATGAAAAAAAGCACAATTGCAGAATACCCCGCCACTCAATCTATCCACCTCGTAGCCGGCTACGAAGTCATGGTTGATTGCCCTCAATAAACCTTCTCACATGTCTCAGCACTACTTGTATGTACTACTATGCGTCATGCTCCACTGCACTCCCACTCCGTATCCGCGTAGCTGCCAACAGGGTAGTTGGTTTGGACTTAAAACATTTTCAGCAACTCCCATTCCTTTTGTGTTGCTTCGTTCTCCAGCATATTCAAGGGGACTCCCATTCCGTATCCGCGTAGCCGCCAACAGGGTAGTTGGTTTGGACTTCAAACATTTTCAGCAACTCCCATTCCTTTTGTGTTGCTTCGTTCTCAAATAATGAAACCCCACTCAGTATCCGCGTAGCTGGCATGGACTTGAATTGTTTCTTTTCCAGTGATTCCAACCTCGTAGCCAGAGATTTTAGGGGTGTATTTCTGAGTGGCGGGGTATTCTGCAATTACTCCGAAAAAAATACTTGTGCTCACGAAAAAAAATAACTATACTTGTACATGTACTCATCTCAAGGTACTCGTTCTCGTGTCAAAATATTACTACTAATTGTACTTATTGAAATGTTCTTAAAAATGCAACACTGCTTAAACATACGTTATCTTTATATACATACATGCACAAGTCAGTCACTTTCAAACTGTAAACATCCAAACATTTCAAAAGTTAAAATTCACTGACTTATCCAAGTAAATCAATAAATACATTTTTAATAACCTTTTCATTTGTGTAAGCAATTGTACACAATAAAAATGGAAGTAAACAGTGATTGAAAAATGAGGTTTCTATGTTGTTTACTCACCTCACAAAGCCTCATTTCGTTCATCATTTGTCATATGGTAATAGTAGCCATTTAAAAAACAAAAAACTAGAAGACAGATTTTACATTTCAAAGTTATACATCAGCTAAATGGTGTGGCATTTGCAATAATAATAATAATAATATAATTTGGGAGGCTAATCATCCTTACTCACAGCCGGTATGCTGAATTGCGAAGGACGCGGCTACAACGTGGTCAGGCCGCTGGCACGTAAAGGCGCCTATATGGCTGCCGGCCACATGGACCCATATAGGACCACGGAGCACAGCCCGAGATTGAAAGTGTTTGATTTTTCCGGAGGGAGGAAAACTGGAGGGCCCGGAGAAAAACCCTTGTGGCACAGGAGAGAACCAACGCACAACTCTACTCACATGTGATCCGCGGCCAGGATTCGAACTGTGGTCACCTTGGTGAGAGGCGAGCGCTTTATGCACAAGCCACCCATGTATCGTTAAAAAAAGATTGCAATGACAATCACATAGGATGAACTTAAAAGTTCAAGGCTTTTCTTTCTTTTTCATTTCATGATGTTTGTATATTTCGAAATTGATTAAACCTCCTGCTGTCTGAACAGTCACAGACAGTAAAAAAAAAAAATCCTCCACCCCTGCCATGCCTTTTACACAGGCTAGTCACCAACAGTCGGATCATATTTCAAGCAAGCACTGTGACTAGTCAAATTCAGTCAACAGACAAAAGCAGGCAAGTGGTAGGCACAGCTGTCTTATCAATCACCTACAGTCAAAGGGGTGCATACCTATGTTCCCCAATACCGATGTTCCCCAATACCGATGTTCCCCAATGCCGATGTTCCCCGAAATCCTTACCGTATAACCCTAACCCTAACCCTAACCCTTACCCTAATCCTAAGGATTTCGGGGAACATCGGTATTGGGGAACATCGGGTAGACCCCCAGTCAAAGCATAGCTGTATCAAAATACACAAACAGTAAGCCAGTTAATCCTGCTTTATGTGGGCAGGGAGCACTCAACCGTTAAAAACAGTCACTAATGACTGATTTTGACTGAAAGGACAACTTTGTAAAAGAATTTCTCTTTATCCAAAACCATTGCTTTTCATCAAATTTATATCTGCGGACTTAAAATCTATCAAGACAGATTTTCCAGCCTTTTTAGGTTGAAATTTTTTTTTTACTAGCAAACGTTTCATACTTGTATCATCTCCAATTAGTTTAAAAGTAAGCAGCAAGTTGCTAAAAATAAGAACATATTGCACAGGTTTCATATGTTAAATACAAAATATAAAAATGCTCAAAATGCATGCATGCTTCAATATTTAAAACACATCCAACGAATGTCAAAATTCATTCCAAAAATTTATAGTAAACGCTCAAAAGCAGAAATTTACAAAAATGGAATCGTGGAGGAACATGTAATGGTGAAAACGTTAGCTAAAGGAATGCAAGATAAACTTCAATAACTGTGACTGCCTGCACAACAGCTGCGTTCGCATTGGACTTCATTTTGCAAAAAGTTACCACAAGAGATAGTTACCATTTCTTTGCAGTTATTCTACTTGTGCGTCTGCACTTGGATTAATTTTGGCTGCGGAAAGTCATGCATTGACTTGAGTAAAGCTAGCCATGTAATTCTTTCGCGACCCAGTTGGCCCTGTAAAACTCACCGCTGCAGACCGTAAAACTTACTAACGACAGTCGACACTTGACAATTTGGGAAGTTTAACGGCTGTCCGCACTGGACTTAATTTGATTAACTTGACAACAATTTCTGTTAGTTTTACCAAAAAAGTTTAATGCGAACAACAACATCAAAAACTGTTGGTTGAAAATCACGCGCGAGTTTTCAGAACCATTACACTGTTTGCAATTTGTTAACTAAAGCTATGTTCGCATTGGACTTTTTTGGGTAAAAATAACGGAGACTGTTGTCAAGTTAACCAAATTAAGTCCAGTGCGAACAGCCGTTAAACTTCCCAAATTGTCAAGTGTTGACCTTCGATTGTGAGGTTTACGATCCGCAGTGGTAAGTTTTACAGTGCCAACTGGGTTGCGAAAAACTTACATTGTAAGTTTTACTTAACAAACGACTATTAGCGGGCTGAAATTAATCCAAGCGTGGATGTACGGTAGAATTACCACAATGGAGTGTTTCAAAATTAAGTAAGACGCGAACACAGCTAAAGTCACACAAAACTGCCAAGCTGGAAAATCGTTTATAACATTACGATCTCTGTATTCCACCTTGCTCACAAAAAAATCTGACGTTTCATTCTCATTATTTGAATGAACTTAATTGACTAGTTAATACCAAAAATGACCCAAGTCCAACTAATTTTCAAAAAGTGAAATTAGTCAAACGGGCACCAACCACAAAAATGTCATTCAAGCACAACTTAAAGTTATGGAAATGTTCAACCAAAGTTTTCTTCAAAAAAGACAATATCTTAATTTTTTCCAATTTATCTGACATCATTTCTTTCTCAAAGCCTGGTATGCTTTCAACTGTAAAATATCATAAGCTGCTGCGTGGACGATTGACAAAAATGGTGTTGCGTGAAATTTGGACGCAATGAAATACCAACCCATTAGTTGCATTGCACATGCGTGTGAGGATTATAGTCCAAAGACACCAGATTTCATAGCAGTCCAAATTTCATAGGACACTGGAATGATCTTCCCCCAAAATTATTGACATTTCATTACTGTATATTTGTTGACAACAACCAGTTTTCAGCTTCTAAAAAATCATGAAAATTGAGAGAAAAATTCATTTCAGATGAAAGAAATCTACAACTCATCTTTTTTCTTCTTTTTGGTTTTACTGGATTTAGTGGCCGATTTTGTCTTGCCGTTAGAACGTGTCTTTTTCCCTTTGCCCCTCTTTCCGGCTTTGACTTTCTTTCTGCTGCGCGTTTTTTTGACATTAGGTTTGGCGTTGGTCTGTTTTGGGACTGGTGTGGTCTCTGTCGTGGCTGATGGTGTGGTCTCTGATGGTGTGTCCGTATCCTCCTCGGACGGTTGTGCGTCTTGTTCGACTTTCTCGCTGCCCGTCCACACTTCATTCAGACATTCTGAATCGACCAAGAGAAATCACTTTCAATGATTGTGGAGTTTGGGCGGTTGGAAAGAGGGTTTGCAAGTGATTTTCATACCACAACTTTTTTTTAAATCAAAATATCAGAGATGTAATTCAAGCCATCATAAGTCACTCACAAGTCCTCACAAGTCAATAATAAGTCATCACAAGTCAATCACAAGTCCTCACATGTCAATAATAAGTCATCACAAGTCAATCACTAGTCCTCACATGTCAATAATAAGTCATCACAAGTCAATCACTAGTCCTCACAAGTCAATAATAAGTCATCACAAGTCAATCACTAGTCCTCACAAGTCAATAATAAGTCATCACAGGTCAATCACTAGTCCTCACAAGTCAATAATAAGTCATCACAGGTCAATCACTAGTCCTCACAAGTCAATAATAAGTCATCACAGGTCAATCACTAGTCCTCACAGGTCAATAATAAGTCATCACAAGTCATCTCAAGTCATCACAGGTCAATCACAAATCCTCACACGTCAATCACAAGTCATCACAAGTCATCACAAGTGAAACAAAAGTCATCACAAGTGAAGCAAAAGTCATCACAGGTTAATCACAAATAATCACAAGCCAATCATCAATGGTCAACTATAAGTCAATCACAAGCCATCACTGAGGCAAGGTATTTATTATATTGTTCTGACAATTTGACAACTCTGATATATTCCATGTTGATATGTAGGGGGGAAAAAAGAGTTCGGAAATTAGAAAGAGGACAAGACTGTGCAGTCACAAGTCAATTACAAGTCACTGGATGAATCATAATGAAGGAAAACCTTTGTCATAGGTCATTTGTGATTGATTGGAAAGGCCTAGTGGGGCTTTGACTGAAAGTCCAGTATTGAACTTTGCCCTTCATTGGCGTATTTTGGATGCGTTCGAGTAGCTCACCCGGATCGACTAGGGTAAAGGCATACGGGTTAGCCACGACAGCCGGGCTAATCGAACACTCCACCATCGTGCAGGCCATCGCGATCCTTACATGACGCCCATACATGTAGCAACGGCTGTAACCACTGCACTGACAAGGTGATGTATGCATATGCGCCTGGGTAATTCGTTTGAGATTTACTGTTTTTCTGTCACTTGAAGAAAAAAATAAGTTGAGCTGGAATTATAGCCTCTTTGAGTCGCAATGAACTCAATAAAAAAAAAGTACCTTTAGACTTACATGTAAATAAAGTTGATTTTTGAGTCCACTTCAGATTTCCAATGTCCAGCTGCCATATTTGTCCATTTCTTGGAAAATGAACAACACATGCGGTGGCTGACCCAGGTGAGCCCCGAGAATGACGTCAGAGCTAATCGAATGGCATGGGGTTGACCCGTGTCGACCCGGATGAGCTAAACGAACGCACCCATTATAAACACTGTATACTCAGTGTTGCCCGAGGGCTCCTGATAAAAAAATTCACACGCTTACTTGAGTGGGACTCGAACCTACAACCTCCTGCTTACTAGTGCAGACATCTTACCACTTGACCACCGAGGTTTAATGTGGTCGGCTGGCTGATTCGAATCTGATATAGCAGCGTGTACCGCAACCAAAGTATTTTGTAGGATTGAAGGCAATGCTAAAATCCATGGTGTACATGTACATGTATGTGATAAAAGAATTGAATACTGTACCATGCTCGTCTTTCTTCAGCACTCTCTGTACACACAGGTAGTCGACGAGACTTGTTTCTTGATTCGTCTTGAAGAACCAATTGCCAATGGCGTCCTCCTGCTCCTCAATCAACTGCTCACACTGAAGCACAAACATACGAGAACAGTCAATGAAATGCGAGTAATTGTATTTTACATTTCAAGTCGGGGAGACCACTAGGAATAGGGCTGTTCATTTCCGAATGAATTAATATTCGATAATTTGAAATGAGTTTGACCAAATATTCGAATATTCGAAACTCACTCATCAGGTTTTGCATCTTACATTGTGCCGCGCCGGTCAAAAGTTGTACCCGATCATTATTCCACTTACATGTTGTTTCATCCTCGTGACGGGAGCGGAGGGTTTCTCCCACATATCGTCAGGAATTCCCAGGTCGACTTTCACTCCTTTGGCCTGCAGTCCTCGTAAGGTATGCATGGTCTCAGACTGACCCTTGGAAAATCTGGCAAAAAAAAAATTGAGAAAAAAAATAAAATAAGATATTTCCAAGCCATCCAAGCGTGAAATATTTTTGATAAAAAGAGGCCATTTTTTTATTTCTTTACTCTTTTCTGAGGCAAATAACGGATTAGTCCATTGGTGGCAGAGCATTGTTCATAAGTCAGTCTAGACTTGAAATAAAGTCAGTAATTGGCCGGGTCTAGTTCGCCCACCGCGCATCGGCGTGGGCAGATACAGTATACCATCCCAGGGTATGCAGGAAGCGTGAGCTATAGCACTAACTCGCAGCGACGCTTTGTGCATCCTCGTCCCCAATATATTCGTGATTATATAACCGACATACAGATCCTTGTCATTTGATTGGTGGAACTCACATCACGTGACATTTGTTATTATACTGCCTTCACGCCGGGCTCAAAAAGTACTATCCGCCCATGGGGAATGGGAAATACTATTGAACAGTTAGGATCATTCTTGTTCCATGGCGCGGTGTTTGTGTGCCAATGCATTATGCATGCTGGTGTGCGCATTCAGCGTTGCGCGCAGCGCGTATTGTTCCAAAGAGCCAGCGCTACAGCGTTGGGTTCAAACATTTTCGTTAAGGGGTGGTTTGAAGAGAGAAATACATTTTCACCAATTTTGTATTGAAATAAAAGTTCAAATGTATCAAATAACAAGGATCTATATGTCAGTTATATAAAACAAATATTGAGTGGCTTTAAATTGTGAAATGGGATGAATATTATCGCTCGGTAAAATCTGGACTTTTCCAGTTCACTCGGCTTCGCCTCGTGAAATGGAAAAGTCCAGATTTTACCTTGCGATAATATTCATCCCATTCCACGCTGATCCACTCAATATTTGTATAATAGGTCAACATTAATTACTGACTTAAATAATCTGTTCTCGACTTTCTACACAACGTATGAGACTTGCTACCAGATTTGAACGGAGCAGTCTCTGATTGGTTACAGGCATGCATAAGAATTTAGAAAAAAACGAGGAAACGTATCCAAACCACACAAGACTTTGTACAGCGTTTTTAAATTTGTTATGGCATTCATGAGAAGTAACAAATGAGGAAATCAGCGGATCCGAGGAAAAGTTGCATGCCTGTGATTAAGAATCAGGAGAATATGAATATTCATTTCACACCTTAAAGCTTACACGTTTTAATTGTCACGTGCGTAAATACCGTACCGTACATGTTCTGTGTGTGGTGAATGGAATACAGCATGGAGCGAATCCCATTCCTGGAAGGGACAAAAGCTCATTCCTAGGCTGTTTGGTATCCCATCATATTATATCATTTGGTAGATTATATTTTATTATATTTTCTAATATATTATAATTATACCACCGAGTTTAATATTCTGATGAAAAATCTGATAAAAAAGAGCGAAGCATACACTGATTAAGAGAAAGATATCCCCACTCTAATAATGAATGCTTCCCGAGCAGTATAGAGCCATCATTGTATGGTGCTATCTATGGAAACATTAATGCACATGCAATTCACTGTGATGTGGGCATAAATGAATTTATCCGTCCGAAATCATATTACTCAAGTCTGCTAGTAAATATTGGAGGCAACGACAGACAAAACACGACTGCCTAGCGACTTGTTCGCAAGTCTAACGTCAGTCGGTAGCTGCTACATATTACATCTTTGAAATCCTTAAAAAGGGTAGTACATGTGCATGGCAATTAAAGCTAGAGTCCATCATTTGCAGCCATCCGAAAAGTAACTGGCGTAATTATTGTTGAAAAACATACTTGGTTGAAAGATAGTAAGGGGACTAAACTCCCTGTGAAATTATTCTTTCTGGCATGCTGTCATTTTGAAGTAATCAACGAAAGAAGGCCTTTCCAACGGTGCGTCTTAAGACGCACCGTAGGAAAATTTAAATTAGTAGTTCGTTTTGTTATTCGGCGAAGCGCGCGCAAGCATTGGCACGACGCACACGCGCGCGGGGTTGCTATCATTCGTCGGATTAGTGCGCGACATCGCGTATAGCTGCAATCGGCTCAGTGAGAACGCGTCTCGGACGCTGAATTCAGGCCCAATTAAAAACATGATTCAGCAACTTTTGATTTGAAATTGAGATCCTAAGAATGCTGTTTTTCTCGGAATATACAGCTGAAGCTGAGCTGAAACTTCATCAGGTTAGTTGTTCAGTATCCTTCATTAGATTTTGAACACTTTTGTTGCTTCAAACAAACAAAATGCACAAATTACAAATGATGGACTATATCTTTAAAGATGCATATAATTTGTATGTGATTGGCAGTGATTTGAACAACTCTAGGCTCACAATTCACTGTAGAGCTATTGACAGCTGTGTGTAGTCACCTCAGCTCTTGTGATCTCATAAAGCTCTTGGATCTCATAAAATATTACAACACAAATATTCACAATAACACTCGCAGGAATGTTGTCACAGAACAAATTGCCCCTCCCCCAGTGAAACATACCAATTAAAAGCATAACACTCACTAACACATTGCACAAAACAAAGCATTGGGTAGCTAAGTGGATAAGGAGGGAATTACTTCAACTGAAGTAGGTTGTCACAGTCAGCAAAGTACTGGCCTGTCAAATTCTTAATTTGTATGACAGCAATCTAATCACAGCCCCAGATGTAGGCCTACAATATTATTCACATGTCATGACATCCACCTAGCTTCACTTCACACTGTGACACGACGGCAAAGGGTTGACACTAATTAAATTTGCTGTGCACGAACCACTATGTGACAGCGCTAGTTGTTTGAGTTCAATGCCAAACGGCCTTTTCGCAGTCTCACACTATTGTCTCGCCTACCCATATTGAAATCAGCATGGGTCCAATCGAACACGGTTAGGCCAGGCATACTGTACACACTATCACCTTGCCATCTCTGTGAGGACCTGAAAACAAGACAGGTCCACACGATGCAGGTAGTGTGGACCTTCTGTGGCCTAAGCCAGGTCCACACAAGGTTTTCCCCTCTCTGGAAAACGACTTTAGGGGCATTTTGGGGATAGATTATCTATCGCAAAGTGAAGAGGAACACTCAAAAAAATCATGATTAAAAAAATTGGGTTGAAAGAGTGTTCACAGTGGGAGTAAGTTTTTATTTCCTCCAGTTTTTCTTAACTACACAAAGACAAAGGAATGTCCACACTAGGTATTAAGGTAGTGCCAACCTTGCTATCTCTGTGTGGACCTGAAACAAAACAGGTCCACACAGGATGCAGGTTGTGTGAACCTTCTGTGGACTAAGCCAGGTTCACACAAGGTTTCTTCCTCTCTGGAAAACAGCTTTTCTTAACTATACAACGACAAAGGAATGTCCACACTAGGTATATAAGGTAGTGCCAACCTTGCTATCTCTGTGTGGACCTCAAAACAAAACAGGTCCACACAATGCAGGTTGTGTGAACCTTCTGTGGACTAAGCCAGGTCCACACAAGGTTTCCCCCTCTCTGGAAAACAGCTTTAGGGGCATTTTTGGGTTAGGGTTATCTGTCGCAAAGTGCAGAGGAGCACTCAAGGAAATCACGATAAAAATATGGGTTAAATGATGGTGAGGAGTGCTAGGTGGCCTTGTGCTTAGGGCATTGGATTCGTACAGCTGCAGTTTGTGGGTTCGAGTCCAGCCTGGGCTCATGGTGCATGTGCCCTTGGGCAAGGCACTTTGTCACTCATTGCTTCTCTCCACCCAGGAGTAAATGGGTATCTGTGAGGGCAGAGATGGTTATTGTGATTGAATTAGCTTCCTTGCGCCTAACAGGCAGCATCCAGCTGCATACTCCCCAAGGAGCTGAAATTGTATTTGGAATGTTTCATGAGCCAAATGAGCAGGGGTAATAATGATGTAGCACCTTGAGCACGTACTTGCGCTTTAGAAATACCTACTACTGTATTATGATGTTATTACTATGCAAAGGGTATTCACAGTGAGAGTAAAATACATTTTGTTTCTGCGGTTTTTCTTAAGTGTACACGAAGACAAACGAATATCCACAATAAGGTAGGCTTGTGTGTGTACATTGGTAAGATGTCCATGTAGATTTTGAATTTTTCTTCCTCTGGTTCAGCTTCTTAACCCTCGTCTTGACCATGGTTGGATTTTCTCCAGGTATACACCGGCGGACTCGTTAGATTCTTGTACGGTAAAAGGGTTTACTTTCCCAAAATCTGTGTTGGACTCAATCAAGGGAGATTTTGGATGGTGTGAAAAGTCCAAATGATACAAAACATCAAATGTCATCCAATGAATATATGTACAAAAACAGATCTACAGAGAGACTTGGCATTCTTGAAATCAAAGTATTTAGAATGCAGGCTCAAATGTCACTGTGGATGTATTGCATATTAATACTGCAAAATCACTTATCACTGGGATAGGAATAGATTCAGTTGTTTTTTTTAAGGGGGGGGGGGGTTTGAGGTAGGGGCATTCTTACCCATGACCTATATAGGCCTACTACATGTACTTTCGTCCCTAAAGGAGTATATTTGTTTTTCAGATATTAAATTGGGTTTATATTTTTGGATACTGTCTGCATGAGGGCTGTTTGAAAAACAAAGATTCTTTTTGACCCAAACAAAAAACACACTAAAAAATTAACCAAAGAATAAAACAATACCAAAATTCCTCTTTTTAAAAAAAAATTTGCAAAGGAGGTGCAGTGTCCTCTTCTATTTGCCCATATCCAATTTCCATCCGTCCTAACCACTAATGGAAACCATCGACTCTCAGCAATATCGATTGGAACTCGGGAGATTGGCAATTCCACGCGATTGATTCACAGTGGGCTTTTATATCTAGCTATGAGTTGCCTAAAAAGGTAAAACAATGTTACTTCTATATTGCAGACTATGAGGCGACTTTAACACAAAAATTGCAGGAAAATTCCATGTCTATTTTTTTTCGTAACGTGAGTGACGACCAAAATAACACAAGTTTTTGAATATAGGTTGAATTTTTCTTTCCATTTTTGAGTACCCCTTA